TGCTTCTCTCATTCATGCTCATTCATGGAAGAAAGAAAGAAAACAGAAAAGCATATTTAAGTTCATGGAAAATGCTATTATGAAAAAACTATGCAAAGATTTTTAAAATGTTTTGCACAAAAATACACTCATGCTTCGATTCCTTTTTTTTTAACAACTTTTTAAGTCCCCTGTATTCTTTTTTTCTTTTCTTTTTTTCTTTTTTTAAGAGAGACTTTTACTATAGAGCACATGCACTCATTGGAGAGACAGAGAGAAAATGAGAATCTCCCCTACCCCCGCGGGGCATGGCCACACTGTGATCCCTTCTCCTCTCTTCTTCTCTTGGAATTTTGGGCACACAGGCACACATGCCCAGGATGAGTTTCAAGCTGCTGGGTCCGGGACTCAACTCATGGTCAGCCATGTGGGAGTCCAGTCCCTTAACCACTACACTACCTGCTGGTCCCAAAGTCCCCTATGTTCTAATCCCAGCTCTACCAAAGGTCATTTAAAGTCTCTGAGTATCTCCTTTCTCCTATGTGAAAAGAGATGACTAATTATTGTTATGCCTGCCTCACAAGGTTCTTGTTGGAATCACAAGAGATAATACATACGAAAATGCATTGTAAACCAATAAAGTGTTGTGCAAAGAAAAAATGTGTATTATTATGGTTATTTTGTATTTACCCAGTTTAACTGGTGTCATTCTTTGCAGTACATTTTTATTTTTAGATGTTTTCAGCTATTCTTCCTGTGGTGACCAGAAAGACAGGTGGACCACAGAGTTCTATTTCTTTGAGCCTCAGATTCTTTTAAAAAACTAGAGACCTTTCTGATTTTCTTTTCTTATGCTATTGACCTTTTGAAAAATAGAGAAATATTTTCAGGGTATAGTGAACTGAAGTATCCCTCTTTGGATTTCTTAGACTTATTTGATTCTATATCTTATTTCTTCAACTTTTTCTTTTTTTGAGAGAGAGATTTTTGTGATAGGGTGTATGTGCTCTCCAGAGAGACCGAGACAGAGAGACAGAAAGGGAACAATCACCCTCTGGGGGCGTGGCATGCCGTAATCCCTTCTCTTCCATTCTCCTCTCGGGATCTTGGGTATGCACTCACACATCGGACGTGAGTTTCAAGTCTCTGGGTCCAGGACTTGAACCATGGTCAGTCATGTGGGAGGACAACACTATGCTACCTGCTGGCCTTATTTCTTCAACTTTTAATTTAAGAACTTTTTTAATTCATCAGAATATTTTGCACCATCATTATTTATTTTTTTCAGTGTGAAAATTGCAGGATGCAGGAAAAAGGGACCGTTGAATCTGAAAAAACATACAAGCAAAGAGAAATTGTGTTTAACCATGGTTCATGTGATTTTTATCATGGTTAAAAGAGGGAGAGTTGCAGAAACTGCCTGCCGAGTTCTTATCTGGGTCGCTCACAGCACTGGCTTTCTCTATTCTCGGCCTGGTTGGTAGGAGAAAGTTGCTCATCTGAGCCGGCTGTTCCCAACCAAAATTTATGCTGATGACCTCAGCGAGGACATTCCTAAAACACCGTATTTGCAGCTTTCTCTAACTACCTATGCAGTATCTATAGCTTCTCCCTGTCCTTAGATACTCCCCCTACCACTGTCAAAGGCTTCTTCATATACCCACTTGCAAAACTGCACCACAATCTTTATTCATAGCCCCCTTATTAATATTCTTCAGGTTCAGCCAGCTCCATGGCATGGTGGTTACAATGACTAGATAGCATAAGGTCCACTGTGTAGTTCAAGTCTCAGACCTGGCAGCTCAAGAAACACACCGGGCACACGTATGGGCATGCTCAAAATCCTGACAGAGGGAGAGGTGGAGAAGAGATTGTGGTCTGATCATTTTCCATGAAGGGTGCTTTCTCCTCTTCCTCTCTTCCCTGTCTCTCTCTGGTAAATGCATATGCCTTCTGGAAAAAAAAATATATATATATATATATATATATCTTTTTTTGAGATCTAGTTCCCTTTTTAAAAATAAATGTTTTATTTTTAGGATTTTAGGCTTGTTTTATATTTACAGAGAAGTTGCAAAGATAGTGCAAAGAGTTGCATGTACTCCACAGCCAGTTTCCTATTATCGTCTGAATTAGTATGGTGTATTTGCCACAGTTAATGAACCTATACTGATACGTTGTTATTAACTAGAGTCCATACTTTATCCCATGTCCTTAGCGTCTATCTAATGCTTTTTTTTTTTTTCGTTCCGGGAGCCCACATGGCTCCTCTGGCCTGATAGTTCCTCTGACTTTGTTTTTGATGACCTCAATAGTTTTGAGGAATACTAGCAAATATTTCATATGATGTGATTTTTCTGATATTTTCCTTTTTTTTTCTTTACTTGTCATAGAGTATGTGCATAGGCATGAGAAAGAAAGAGAGACAAGCCCTCTCCACAGGGTCTGGTCACACTGCAGTGCCCTTTGTCCAGTCCAACCCGTTGGATCTTGGGCACTTGCACACATGCCTGGCATGTTACAGGTAGTCTAGCCTGAGAGTCACCATGTGGGATCTGTTTTCTCTTGGGCAACGAATTACCACTATGCCACAGAGCTGTCCCACCCAATGGTTTTCCTTAATATCAGCCTCAGGTTTGGGGGAGGAAAACTGTGGAAGGAAAGTACCATTTCACCACATTGAGTGATGCAATTGTAGATACGACTGGTCACTGTGGTGTGGTGTTGGCCTAGAAGAGATGGCTGAGGAAGTGTTGTCAGATTTCTCTACCACGCAGCTACTAACCTCCCCCTGTCCAGATTGTACTTTTGGAGAGGAGGCAATGATTCGCTCATACTTCAGGACTTCAGAGTTATGCTCTTGTTTTATGTTTTAATTAATTCCATATGACCTTGACTTGACCCGGTTCATTATCACAGACTAGAAGAGGTGCAATAAATGTTGTAAAGAGGTGTGTGAAAAGGATGCAGCCCTCTATATTGCATGGAAGGTTGTTGTGATTAAGAAACGGTAGGAAACAGACTGTGGTTTAGAGGTTATGGTGGCTGGATCCCATGTGGCTGACAGAGCAGTTCAAGTCCTAGACCTGGCAACTAGGAAAATATGCTGAGTGCACGTGTGTGTGTGTGTGTGTGTGTGTGTGTGTGTCCAAAATTCTGAAAGCAGGACGGGATGGAAGAGAAGCCTGACCATCCTCCATGAAGGGTACTCTCTCACTTTTCCTCTCTCTGTGTTTCTCTTTGGCAAGCACGTATGCTTCTGCCAAAAAAAAGAAAAAGAAAAAAAAAAGTCACAAAAGACTATTATAAAGATTTTATTTAACCACAACAATGGTAAAAAGAAAAATAAGAATAGCATTTCTCACTTAAAGCTTTTAACTTATTGCTTGCAATTAATACATGTCTGTTGACTTGAGCTCATCAGCAGGGACTCTGCCTAGCTGCTGTCGGGGAGGAGGGGCTCTATGGCATTCAAGAACCAACACCTGGTTCCTGTAATCCCAGTGATAGAAGGGGCACAGGGAGACCTGGAATCCCAGAGACGAAAGCTGAGCGCTCCTGCCCCAGGTAAGCTGATGCCATCCTGCCCCTCACCTATCCAGGGCCAAAAGGCAGGCCCAAGCCAAGCTTCTCAGCTTGAACTCATCAGCAGTACTGCCTGTGCAGTATGCAAGTGGTTACCACGTTACATTCAACCACATTACATTCTCACCTCCATCCACATTGGGAGCAGTTAGATTTGGGTATACAAAAACACAACACTTAAAATAGGTGACTCTGGAGGAGTTCCCCATAGCTCCCTAAGCAGTAAAAGGAGAGAAACTCCTCTCTGAAAATCTGAACCCCAAACTCCTATTGTGGATTCCACCCTCCCACCCACAGTAGAGGAGAGAAATTGGCACAGAGCTAACACATATCATAAAGTGCAGGAGCACACAGCTACAGAAACGTACTCCAAAGAAATAGGAAGAAGTGAGTATATCACCAGTTGATTCAAAATCAAAGCAGAACCCCAGGAAATAGGAGAAAGTCAGTAAATATTTGCCCCTCAAAGAATCATAACTCAACAATGGATTCAACATAAGAAATTACAGAAATGTTAGAAAAAGAATTTAGAATATTAATTGTTACAAAACTCAATGAGGTGCAAGAGAAAACAGACGACCGATTCCAGGAGATGAGAAAGTTCTCCCAAGTCTTAAAGGAGAAACTCTATAAAGAGATAAACACACTTGGGGCCTGCAGATGGCAAAATGTTTACATCGTTGTACTCCCACATAGTTGACTATAGTTTGAGTCCCGGACCTGGAGGCTTGAAACTCAAACCAGGTGCATGTGCATATGTGCCCAAAACCCTGAGAGGAGAATGGAAGAGAAAGGATTGTGGCATGGCTATCCCCCAACTCGAGGTGGGGGGGCTGGTGATTTCTTCTTTCTGTTTCTCTGGTGAGCACACATGCCCTATAGCTAAAATCTCTCTATAAAAAAAGAGATAAACACACTGAAAAAATAAAACATAATTTCTGGAGATAAAGAATACGATGCAGGACATCAAAACCTCCTTCAAAAGTTATCAACAGCAGATTAGATCATGCAGAAGAATCTCTGACCTTGAAAATAAAATGTCCCATATAGTCCAAGCAACTGAAAAGAATAGAAGAATAATCATTAAAAATGAGAACAACTGGGACCAGCAGGTGGTGTCCCTAACCCTGACTCCCACATGGCCAACTGTAGTTCAAGTCCCAGAAACCTGGCAGTTTGAAAATTATGTCAGGCACGTGTGTGTGTACCAAAATCCCAGAAAGATAATGGAATAGAAGGGATTGTGGCATGGTCATCCCCCAGGGGGGTGATTTCTCACTTTCCTTCTCCCTGTCTGTCTCTCTCTCTCTCTGGTGAGCACACATGCTGTATGGCAAAAACCTTTAAAAACAATGAGTACAATATACAGGAAATCCTAGATACCATTAAATGATTGAATATCTGCATAATAGGTATTCTAGAAGGTGAAGAGACAGGTAAAGACATAGAAAACATCTTTCATAATGTATTAGCTGAAAAGTTTACAACTTTAGAGAGGCATATGGACATCCAAGTTCAGGAGATACAAAGGACACCAAATAGACATAACATAAGAAGCTCTTCTTCAAGGCATATCATAGCCAAACTGGGAAATCAAAGATAATGTTTAAAAATGGCAAGAGAGAAACACCAAGTTACTGAATTCTATAAATTACTCTCTGAGGCAGCGTGTGGGTTGGTGCGGCCTTTGTGAGATTACACCACGGTGTACTGAGGCCAGGGCCAGAAAGTGCAGAAGGTGATGGTGCAGCCCATCAACCTCATCTTCAGATTCTTGCAGAATAGATCCCAGATTCAGGTGTGGCTCTATGAGCAGGTAAATATGTGGATAGAAGGCTGTATCATTGATTTTGATGAGTATATCAACCTTGTATTAGATGATGCAGAGGAGATTCATCCTAAAACAAAGTCAAGAAAACAACTGGGTCAGATTGTGTTCAAAGGAGATAATATAACTCTGCTACAAAGTGTCTCCAACTAGAAATGATAAACGAAGTGAGAACTTGCTGAGAAGATAGTAGTTTGTTCCCTTTGTGGAGAGTATAGTTCTAAAAATTTGTTCATCTTGTTTTTATTACCCTGATATTATTCCTAGTTGGCAATAAATGCTGTGAAATTGTTTTTATTAAAAAAATAAAAGAAAAAAAAAAGAAGAAACACCAAATTACTTACAAAGGTTACCCCATTAGACTAACATCCTATCATTCAACTGAAACAATGCAGGTAGGGCAAGAGTGGAAAAAGAGTGGGAAGACATATTTAATTAAAACTCTGAAAGAAAAGCAATTTCAGCCAAATGTACTATACCCAGCAAGATTATCCTTCAAATGGGAAGGAGAAATAAAATAATTTCCAGATAATTAAATGCTGAAATAATTCACCAAAATGAAACCAGCTCTTCAGGAACTATTTAAAGGATTACTACACCAGGAAAACAAATAGAAGACAACACAAAACAACTAGAAGAAAAAGGTGAGGCCACATTATTGAGAACACTGGGACTAAATTTTCCCAATTAAAAGGCTAAATATGGAGATCAGCAGATGGTGTAATGGTTATGTCCCTGGACTCTTATGTTATAAACTGTGGGAATAGAAGACAACACAAAACAACTAGAAGAAAGAGATGAGGCCATATTATTGAGAACACTGGGACTAAATTTCCCAATTAAAAGGCTAAATATGGAGATCAGCAGATGGTGTAATGGTTATGTCCCTGGACTCTTATGTTATAAACTGTGGGCTGTGGTTGAGTCCTGGACCTGGTGGCTTAAAACTCATGCTGGGTACATGTGGATGCATGCCCAAGATCCAGAGAGGAGAATGAAGGAGAAGGGATTGTGGGTGGCTCTCCCCCCAGGGGCTGACTTCTTGCTTTCTGTCTCTCTGTCTCTCTGGTGAGCGTACATGCCCTATAGCAAACATCTCTCTCTAAAAAAAAGGCTGAAAATGCAGATTTTACTAATTTATACATTAGCAGATTTAAATACATATTCACTAGTTATTTGATTCATAGTTGTATCAATTTATATACTTAATAGGACCATTCCTGATTACATAAAACTAGATAATAGAGCAAACATCAAAAATATTACAAGTAGCTGAGTCTTTCTTTGGAATGAATGTTAAAAAGGCTAAAATCAAGAACTTTGTAAAGCCTACAAATCACCAAATCACTGGCTTTATCATGTCTTCACATTGAAACATATTTTTTAATTTTGTTTTGTTTTTGCCTTTTCAAAGACTTATTTCTTTATGCACAATACAGTGCTATGGTTTTATAAGAACTCATAGCATATGAGTAAAAGTGATCTTTTTCTATTTCTTTCTAATGAGCTATTGTTATGGACAATTTTGTCTATTTCTATCTGTACTAATGATTAATACAGTTTTTTTTTTTACAGATTATAAACTCTTATCTCCCACAGTCCTCCATATGGAAATTACAGATTTTTCTCTCATTGACTATGCTAAGATTATCTTTGTAATTTATGAGATATTTTGTTGCCTGATTTTAATCAATATGTTTGTCTTTTTTTTTTTTTTTTTTCGCTATAGGGCACGTGCGCTTGCCAGACAGGCAGAGAGAGACAGAGAGACAGAAAGCGAGAAATCACCCCCCAGGGGGGATGGTCACGCCGCAATCCCTTCTCCTCCATTCTCCTCTCAGGATCTTGGGCATGCACGCACACATGCCCAGCGTGAGTTTTAAGCCACCGGGTCCGGGACGCGAACCGCGGTTGACTACGTGGGAGTCCAGCGACATAACCATTACACTAACTGGTGGTTCCCAATATGTTTGTCTTTAGAACTGTATCTCATAGTAAAGAACATCTAGACAATTTAGTACATACTGGCAGAATAATCATTGGAGTGGGTTTTGAATGTCCACAATATAAATAATGTTAAATGTTGAAGATAGCAAATATGTTTAAAAATAAACCAATATATGACTCTTTTTTGGAGACTTTTTTTTTTCACTATAGGGCGCGTGCGCTCGCCAGACAGACAGAGAGAGACAGAGAGACAGAAAGTGAGAATCCGCCCCCCAGGTCACGCCGCAATCCCTTCTCCTCCATTCTCCTCTCGGGATCTTGGGCACGCACGCACAGGCGCCCGGCGTGAGTTTTAAGCCACCAGGTCCGGGATGCGAACCGCGGTCGACTACGTGGGAGTCCAACAACATAGCCATTACGCTAACTGCTGGTTCCCAACCAATATATGACTCTTGAAAGAACAGATGAATAAAGATGAACAGAAGTAGAAAAGATTTCCCAAGGATAGGAAGAATAGCCATTTCACTGGTCTGATTTTCTTTAAATATCTCCTTCGTTTCTGTGACTGGAGTACTTAGTTTGTTAAGCAGGGCTTTTAGAGAGAGAGAGAGAAAAAAGAAGCTAAAAGAGAGGGGCCTTCGCGTGCTTTGTGAGCCAGGTGCTGAGGGTCAAGGTTGTATAAGAGCTAGGTCTTAGCCCTTGGGAGTCGATAGCCAAGGAAGAGAGGAGGAGATAGAAAGTCAAATATCCTCAGTCTAAGAAGGGTTGTGCTAATAATATCACACAAGAGGCAGAAACAAGATGCCATAGAAGTTCTAAAAAGAAAGATCATTCCTGTGTCAAAATAGTCAAAAGGCCGAAAACCATGTGAGAGCAGAGAGTAAAAGAAGTGTCTGGCTCTGAGAGCCCAGACTAAACATAGAGGGGAGATAAACTGAGGCACTGTTGGGGGCAGGGGCAATGTGGGTGGAGGTGGTTAAGGCTGGGATTCCATGAGAGAGAAGACAGGTGCAGGCTGCATAAGGGAGTGGGAAGGTGAGGAGGTCACAGGTTACCTTCAGTTGTAATTACTTATTTGTTTATTTTAGTTTCTCTCCCTTCCTTCCGTGAGTGAGAGAGGCAGAGGGACAGAATCAGAAAGACAGCATCCCAAAAAGAATCTTTATAACTCAATTTACCCCCAGCTTCTGCCAGTCCTGGATCCTAGGCACGCTCATACCTGGCGTACTTAGGGAGGTCTCTGGGCATGAACCAGGAACCTTCCTAAGTAGGTCAGCCTTGCCAGCTGCGTGACTGCTGCACCACCATCCGATCCCTCAGTTTTAATTTTGTTTATTCCATCTGAATGCGATTTTAAATAGTGTTTACCTTTTGGAGAGGCATTATTTAATCATAGGGATGGATAATATCTATAGAGTTTTTTTTTTTCTCCTAAGAAATTCCTCCTATTATTTTACCTTCTTGATTTTAATATTAGCTGCAGGTTAGTGATGTAAAGACTGGTTTGACATCACCCTTTGCTATGGATCAAAATTTCTCTATGAAATTTCCTTAAGGATTTTAGCAAAAACAATCAATTGCCCAGCCGACTGGTTAGTAACTCAGAGAACAACACTTGTTTCATCCAAGATCCTGAAGGGGGCCCCCACGGCCCACACTGAGCTCTGCGGCTCTAACCAGGCCATTCCAGCTGTTGGTTATGCAAGAACATGCTGGTCTCGGGAGAATGAATGCATTTGCTAATGATTTTTAGCTTCATAGTACATAGATATTTTCATCTTTTACATTTTTGTTACGTATTAAAGGCATGTAGAAGTAAGTATTTATGCCACATAATTTGTCACCTTAAAAATCGATGGCATTAAATTTACCGAGGGAGATCAGTGGAAAGAAAAACAGGGCAGCCTTGCCTTTCTCTTTCTCTCTCTCTCTAAGCTGGTGAAAAGGCAGATGATTCTGAAGAGAGGAATTTGACATGCATGATGGATGGTAAGGGAGAATCGGGAGTGGGCTTCTATAGGGAAGGTCTGGACATCCCTGATGAAAGATTGCCTAAGACATTAGGAGCCCATGAAAGTTCTTGCAAAAATCAACTGCAGTAGCTCTTCTGTGCCATTGCACAATAAAAACGCAAACTGCATTTTGTGCAAAGGGAGCATTCACCTTTTTCGGAGTAAAAAGAGTCTGCCGTATGCAGCTTGGCGGATCATTGAGCCAGTGTCTATTGCTTATGACAGAGGAATGTGTCCTAACGCTTCACTACTTAGGTCAAAGCTGCAAATTTAAGGACACATTCCTTTCTAAATGTTTGACCCGTTTTCTATAGAATGCCTGGGTACTTTGAGTCAAAGGGCAGCTATCAGGACCATGATTTTTGTGTAGTGTCAAGACAATCTGGTGGTATCTATCCTGTGGTTGAGACAGAGATAAGCCAAATTGACCGACTCGTTAAAAATCTTATTAGAGAGAATGGCACGGAAGTTACTTGCAAGCCCACAGCAGCGGCAGTAACTCATGTTCTGGCAATTTAAGACTAGGCTCTGAGCTTCAGTTCTTTGGTATTCATTAAATAGCACTTAGTTACTATAGTAACTGTCCCTTTTCAGTATTTATGAGCTACAGGGTATCTTACGGAATCTCAAGCACACGAACACGTAGCTAACACATTGTGTGCACTGAAACATTTAATGAAGACTTCTAACTGGACCGTATTCTGCAGAGCAGGCATATTTTGCTCACAGTTATTTTAGTTTATTATTTTTTTTAACTCAATTATAGCAAGCTTTGACCTTGAAGACACCATTCTTGAAGGCATTGTGCTGTCTTTCCTGTTTAATTTCCTTCCCTTTCTCATGGAAGATAGAGATAAATGAATTTAACTTTATATTCACTGAACAGCAATGACTTGCAGTTTATGAATGTGCCCCTCTGGATTCCAGGGCGGGCCTGGCGTGTGAAATAAAGCAGGAGGAGAGTGACTCTCACCCGTGGGTAGTGGGAATCACAGGGTGTGGGAAAGAAGAAATGAGGAGAAAGTGCCATTTGGCAAATAGTGATGATTATGGTTTATCAGTATGCCTACATTACCAGGGAGTGCTTCCCAAAAGCTGCTAGGCACTTCCCTTGAAGTCGCACATTGTGTGTCAAATGACTAATTTGTACACAAGAATTCTCCTCCTCCTTAAAAGAATCATATGCACATATGCGTACACACCTACACACACACACACACACACACACACACACACACACACACACACACACACACACACACACACACACACACACACACACACACACACACACACACCAGCAGGGCAGCCTGTGATGCTGCTTATGAAAGTTGCTAGGCCTGGAGACTCTGCTTTTCCTGCCTGGTTTTAAGAATGTTTATAAC